CAAATAAAGGCTGCTTATTTTAAGCTCTGCCTTTACAAGCAGCACTTAAAAATTAAAGTATATAGACATTTCCTCTTTGCAGAACACTGATTGTCTGGAGAAAAGGATGCATTGAAATGACGCCTGGAAATTTCCATCATTCATACCTTTTTCGATAGTGGCCCACAGAGCTCAGCTCCCACAACCATTGTTTTAAAAAGTTGTTTATAAGGCTTGCCAGTTCCAGTTTGGGAAATTCTTGGGAGATTGGGGGGGGGGGTAGAATCTGGGGAGGGTGGGGATTGGGGAAGGAAGAGACTTCAGTGAGTTATAGTGCCAAAGAGTCCACATCCAAAGCAGCTATTATTCCCGACCCCCAGGGGAACTGATCTCTATAGTCTGGTGGGATCAGTTGTAATTCCAGATCACTCCTCGCCCCCCGCCCCCAGCTTGGCTACCCTAGTTGTTATGCCAAGGAAGTCCGGGATGCGGAGGTAGACGATGGCAAAGCACCTCTGCTCATCTCCTGCCCTGAAAGCGGCTTGAGGGGTCATAAGTTGGTTGCAAGTTGACAGCCCTTAATTATCTAGGATTGCCGGCCTCCAGGCGGTGGCTGGAGATCTCCTGCGAATACAACTGATCTCCAGAAAACAGAGATCTGTTCCACTGCAGATAGGGTTGCCGGGTCTCACCTTGCACCTGGCGGGGGGCTCCCGGGTCCTTCAAAACCATAGAGTTTGCCCAAAAACTAGAGCGTCACCCTCCTTGACATCAGCAATGCGATGATGTCACTTCCGGGTGATGTCAATTGTGTTGGGGACGTCCCTGTTTGGGCATGGTGTGTCTCCCTAGCTGGCCGGTGGACTGAAGCCCTCAAAAGTGAGGGAACCCCCACTGGGACCCTACCTGGAGAAAATGGCTGCTTTGGTAGGTGGACTCTATGGCATTATACCCCATTGAAGTCTGTCCTCTGCCTAAGCCCCGCCATCCTCAGGCTCCACCCCCCCAAATCCAGGTGTTTTTCAACCTGGAGCTGGCAACCCTATTAACATATTATTATCTAATAACTCAACAGACCGAAGATGCAAAAAGTGCAGAGAGCTGTGTCAGTCCATTTCAAAAAGCAGCCATGCCTTTTTTTTTTAAAGGAGTTTCATAATTTTACCTTTCAATGTCACGCTGCAAGCCATCCTTGTGCCATTTCTATGAGAGAAAAGCAGGATCTAAGGGAACCCCTGGGAGTAATCATGATCAAAGACCCTGGTGTTTATTTCCAAGCAGACCCACTTGGGATAACATGGGAAATCAGGGGTCGTTTCGTAGAAAAAGAGCTAGGGGAACTCATTAGCATAACTCATTAGCATATGCCACACCCCCTGACATTAGGGGCCCGGCGGTGGACCTGCAAGGCCGGCGGGAGTGCGAGGAAGCCCTGCCAAGGCCCTCCCTGGCCCCAGGAAGGCAGGGGTGGGGAGAGGCGGGGAGGAAGCAACTTACCCTCCCTCTTCTCCTGCCTCCTCCCGGCTCGGAAGCGGGGCGGCCGGAAGCAGGGGGCAGGGCTTCATTGTGTGCCCCACCCCCGCATCTCACCTGGGGGAACTGCGATCCCCTGCGACCCCCCCGAATCGACCTCTGTGGGAAATAAAAAAATAATGTCAGGTTGAACGTTATCACATAATACGGAACAATTTTTTTGGATTCCACAGAACATTTCATCAGGCTGAATTTCTATATAAAAAGACGTCTGTGGGTGGGAGCTCAGAGCATTGTGGAAACATCTCCCCCCCCCCTTTTTGCACTGAAGACCCTTCCAGCATCAGTAATATTTCCATGGAACCCCAAAGTTTCCTCATTAGTTTACTAGGAATTTGGTCTGTCATAATAACAATACGGAGGAGGAAAAAGAGAGAGAGCTGGACAATAGTCAAGACATCTAGAGAACCTTCCCTAGTGGGGTTGCCAGTCTCCAGGTGGTTAAGTAAAACACTAAATCACCGTATACAATTTTACAATTTCCCCCCGTTTTTATATTACGCTAAGTGTGAATTTTAAAGAATTTTTAGAATGATTCATTAACAAAAATGCAACTTAAGCATTAACCATTAAGCTTGGCAGTACATTCAGAATGATGTCACTTCTGTAGAAATATTTACAGCCAATAATGAGGTCTTATCTTAGGCACAAAGTCTTAATCTAATACACTTATTACAAAAACAACTAAGAGAAACAATGGCGTTCTAGTAATCATTCCTTTTGCGTACTCTTCATCAGGTTTTTCTGTTGTTGATTCCTCACAATCTTGAAGTACTGAAGGCTGCAGTAAAGTAACATGCTTAATAAACTACACAAAAACATAAAGAAGTATTCCTTTACAATAAGGAGCATTTTACATTTTATAAATTCACCAGTGTTTCAAGATTCATTCATATACTCTATTGGTGCCACGCTATTGCATTTAAGTTCTAAAAGAGAACAAACAAGCACAATATGCATTTTACAATTCTCTGATAATGTTATACGCTATAAGGAAATCAGAAGTGTGAAAAACATTTTAAGAGTTACTGACCTGGTGACTGGAAATTGCCGGTATTAAACCATGATGTCACTAGGTCTACAATACATTTCAAATGGCTAAACTTCCCTAGTGTGACAAACGTCTCTGTGGAGAATCTAAGGGTGTGGTCAGACGGCATTTTGGGAGTGGTTTAAATTGCTCCGGCCCTGATGCGTTTTTTTTAACCTGGAGAATCACGATCACACTCACCTACTTGCTCCGGATCGCTGCGCAGCCACATCACTCCCTGTTGTCCACACACGGAACGTGCGTCGGTGTTTTTCTCTCTCTCTGTTTGGGCATGCGCACAGGCAGCCATCTGTAGAACTAAAATTTTTTACAGCAATTTCCCCTTCAGCCCGACTGCTGTAACACTCCCCTTTAAACTTTAAAGGAACACTTCCCTTTAAACGTTTACCCCGAAAATGGCCTCTCTGAGATCCCGAACTCATCTAAACGCTAAAACTAGGCACCGTTTAAACATTGTTTTTAATAACGCGGTGGCGGAGCTCCGCCTATGCGCACATCGCCAACGTTTTTTAAAAAATGGCGAGTGAAAAGCGGAAGCCTCGGACAGCTTTCGAGCGGGGAGGGGGTTTAAACTGGAAGTGGCTCGACACCGGAGGAGCGATCACACGGGGAAAATGCGTCTGGAACCAGAGAATCAGGAAAATACCACTTGGGGACCGGGTATCAATATACTCCGGGTTAAAGTAGTTTTGATCCGGAAAGCGACGGCTGGGGGCGGGAGGCAGATGTTGACTGTGTGATCGCGCAGATAAAATCCGTTTCTGAACTGACACCAGATCAAATGGCGCGTCTGACTGCACCCTAAGAGTTGCAACAGGTGTTGTGATTCTGAATGTACTGTTGAGCTTCATGGTTAATGCTTAAGTTGTATTTTTGTTAAGGAATCATTCTAAAAATTCTTTAAAAATTCACTTAGCATAATATAAAAACCGGGGGGGGGGAGGGGAAATGTGAAATTATACACGGTGATTTAGTGTTTTACTTAGTCACATACACCGTGGTCCGGTTTGTTGCACTATTACAGTTGATTTCCAGACAACTAGTTCAGCTCAGTTACCGTTAATGGCATACATAATGTGAAGAGTAAAATACATATAGTGACAATTCCCGACAAACTAAAATATAATAATGAGTTAAAATACATACATACAATTCAGTTTCAAAGCCTGTATCTGATTTTAATCACTTCAGCTAGAAACTTAGCAACCAAAGCTGTAATTTCAGGGTTGGTGTTAATTTAAGAGATATTGGATAATTCACATGGAGAAAAAATGCAGCTTTGGAAGGCGGCCTCTAGGCTGTTATACCTTGCTGAGGTCCCTCCCCAAACCCCACCCTCCCAAATCTTCAGGGATTTCCCAATCCAGAGACGCCAATCCTAACTAACAGGGCAGGAGGGAAATTTCAAAAACAGGCCTTTGCCACACTCATGATGTCAATTCTGAGGGAGGGAAGTCAGAAGCGCATGCGCACTGCGACCCCTTTCAGAAGATGGCCGCCGCGGGTTTGTCTCTTTTTTTGTGTGTGTGGAGGAATGTGACCGTTTTTGGCCACACTCAAAATGACTGCCGTCGCTTCTGTTTCCCTCAATGAGAAGCGGCAGGCGCAGCTGTTTATTTTGGGGCAACACTCAAGATGGCCACCGCCGCTTGCGTCTCCCTCAGGCGTCGCTGTTTCTGGGCCACACTCAAGATGGCCACCGCAACGGTTGCTATTGGTTTCGAGCCACACACAAGATGACCGCCGTAGCGTCTGTTCTTTTCAAGGGAAACAGGAGGCGTAGCTTGTGGGGTGTGTGTGGAGAGCCATACTCAAGATGAACGCCGCAGCCTCCATTCGAAACGAGGTAGGCGTGGCTTCGGACTTCTAAGCCGCACTCAAGATGAGCGCCTTCCTCGCTTCACAAGAAGGGAGGGGGCGTGGCTTGGTCTTTTTTAAAAAAAAGAAGAAGCCGGCGGCGCGGTGACGTCAGTCGGCGCGAGGGGTTGCGCCCCACCCCGCCGGCGGCGCTGCGCCTGCGTCGCGTGCGTCGAGGTGACGGAGCGGGCCGGACGCGTCCCTTTGTTGGCTCAGCGGCGCCTGTGAGGGGAGAAGCGGCGGGCCCGGGCGTGTGTTGGCGGTCGGTTCCCCGGAGGGGAGGCCAAGGCAGGCGGCTGGCCGGCCGGAGGAGCCCGCGAGTCCCGGGCCGCTGAGGGGGCCGCCCGCCCCGCGTCGCCTCCTCCTCCGCCGCCGGCCCCCTCACCCCTCCGCCAGCGCCGCCGCCGCCATGGACTCGGACGAAGGCTACAACTACGAGTTCGACGAGGACGAGGAGTGCAGCGAGGAC